GCATGCTCGGTTATACGTAGCTGGGTCTGGTGATATCATATACTGTCCTCAACAGCATCGGCATCCTGGGTTAGGATCCCCTCATTAGGAGGGGTGGGATGCAGCCCCTGGCAACGTGGTTTCAGCGTCCATGTGTCTGAGGCAGCCCACAAGCATTTACATCCAGCAAGGAACCCCTATTAGTAAGTAATTACAGCAGGCATGATTAACGTACAATGGGATACTCATGTCCCTTTCTTGTACTTACTGTACCTAAGGGGTTTAATTAATTCTAGATAACCAAACAGCCAGTGGCTTTGCAGTCCATCACACAGGAGAGCCGATGGTACAATCCATGTTTTATGTTGGAAGTAACACAATTTAGCTGCTTGGCCTATATCTGGGGTAATTCAGCTCCCTGTGCTCGTTGCCTATCATTTGTGTGAGGTAATCCCCCCTCTTTCTTTATCTATTGAGCCAGTAATTCTCTATGAGAAACTGGGGTGTGTACTGTTTGGGGCTTATTTGTCCTATGACCTCCTCTTACAGACTACCATAAGTACAAGTTTGGCTGAAGGTCTGTGTTACCAGGGAAATACTTACTTCCCTGCTGTGTATAAATAAGGCCAATAAGTACTATTTTACTGATGGGAATATAGTAATGTATACTCATAGTTAGGGGGACCCTCAAAAAGTTCCATTATCAAAATATATATAGTAATGTAGCACCATACTGCCTATATATACATTATCCCTATTACGTACAGTAGCTGGGCTCTATGCCTACTTTTTAACATGCATATTTCTATAATAAAAAACATTCCAAAGAATGCGGTCTGCCTCTTCTGCTTGGTTTGGATCCCCTCATCGGTCAGCCTTTGGCAGGCGTTGCCGGCCGTTTTCTATCTCTACCCTTGTTCAGATGTATGTATTTAGATTATCTGTACTCATTTGTATTTATGGCCATATTATGTGCTGTATCATTATGTTTATGTTGTACAAACTCTACATAAGATATGTTTGCGTTATCTTTGTATTTTATTTCATCCTTTTAGAAGTCCTTTTATAGCTCCTGAAGAAGCGACAAAATCGAAAATCATGTTGAGCTAATTTCATCAACACATCAAGATTACCCCACCTAGCATTTGATCCCAAAAGGGATCTCGGCACCAGGAAGCAATTCAATTGGGCAATCGTAAGACCAATGAGATGGAAGAATATCAGCCTTCTTTTTGTCGAAGACATCCAGAAGCTCATGATAAACAGATGGAATATTCTGGTTAACTTTGGGTACTGCTTGGACAGTCAGGCAACTTGTGGAGTTTCTGGGTCCAGTAGGAAAGCAGTGCTGTAGGCAGTAAACAGACATGAAGGAGACCACTTTCTTGGCCCAATCAATTTGTGGATTATGAGCCTGTAGCTGCGAAATGCCCAGGGTAACTGGGAACATTGGTGAACACAGTTCATCTACGCAGATAAATTCCTGGTGGCCAGAGTCAGTCAAAGTGAAAATGGGTACAGTTTTGTGTAACTTGTCCTGAGCTTGGTATAGAACCATGAGCTAGATGCACTTCCATTCTTTAACTTTTTGTGTTGAGAGGCAAACATAATTTCTTTGCCAGGGATACATCCAGAAAGCAACTGCATGCGCCAGAGTCAATTATTGCCAGGATCTTGACCTCTCTTTCCACCACCTGTAAAGAAACAGGAAGAATAAGGTGAGTCGGGGGAGACACAGAGACCAAGAGGTATGCAGGAATATGTGGAGTGGACTTACTGAGCCTCACAGGACAGCTCAGGCAGAGGTTGGATTGCCGGTGGTGTAGTCTTTCATTGAGAGTTAAAGCTGATCAGACCAGGCCAATCTGCATGGGTTCTCCTTCATAGGTAGCCCTGGTGGAGGGTGCAGACATAGACGAAGAAGCAGGAGGAACTTTGGGCATCATCCAAGGGCATCATCCAAGGGCAGCCTGAAAGATCGAATCTGTTCCAACCTTCGTTACCACAGGCATGTGTCAAGTTGGATGGTCAGTTGAATGAGACCTTCTAAAGAGGTGGGGTCTCTACTCAGGCCAATTCATCTTTAAGGGCTTCAGACAGTCCCAACCAGTATTGGTATCTGAGAGCCACCTCATTCTACCCTGTGTCTGCAGACCATTTGCAAAAGTTCATTGTATAGTCCTCTTCTGGATGCCTGCTGCATAGTATGAGGGGCTGCTTCTGCGGTGTCGTGCGTTGTAGGTCATCGTAGAGTAGTGCCATGGCTTCAAAGAATGCAGCGACAGAGTAAAGAACAGGACTCTTCTGTTCCATGGGTTTGTGGGCCAGGTTCGAGGTTCATTGGATAATAGGGAGATAATGAACCCCACTTTCACAGTCTCTATGGAGAAAGTCCTTGGCTGCAGAGCCTAGTATAATTAACAGACATCAGCAGGCTCTGAATTTTCTTAGATTACCAGAAAACTGTTCAGGAACTAGAACCCTTGGTTCTGGAGGAGGGATCAACACAGTGGGAGCGGAGACTGTGCGTTCCTGGGTTGATGAGATGGATGCAGTAGATGCAGGAGGTGAACCTTCATTCACAGGAGAAGCAGTCACGGTTAACTTCTGCAGGCGACCCTCTAGCTGGAAGTATTCCTCAGCCCAAAGAAGCACGGGTTGCCAGCTGTAAGAGCCTGATGAGCTGGAGATGACAGTCACCTGACGAGGACCAGTAAGAGTGGCTACAGGGCTGATGTTCCCCAGATGTGGCAGGCGGAACTTGGCAGAAGGTGGCTGTTCCCCAGACATAGCAGGCAGAACTTGGCAGCAGGCAGATGACAGGGTCAGGAGTCAAGTCGAGGGTCATGCACAGAGAATCTGGCAGAAGCAGCAGCAAGAGCCAATATCAGAAACAGGCTGAGGTCAATCACGGGTGGTCAGGCAGAGACGTGGTCAGGCAGAGACAGGGTCAGAAGGCAAGCCGAGGTCATACACTGGTAATCAAGCAGCAGCGAAATTGATGAAGCAAGCCAGGGGTCAGAGCCAGGAGATGAGACAAGACAGGTCAAAAGCAATCCAGAGTCAGCAACAGGAAATCCACTAATAATAAGAAAGGTCACAGGAACATCGGGGGCTGACGATCATCCAGTGACTAGTGGTCAGAGCTGCTGCCCTTTTAAAAGAATAGGCACCAGAATCTATCGTGCTCTGCGTGTGCCACTGCGCATGCGCACACCCGCTGATTCGCACCCAATGCGAATGGGAGTGTGCAACCTGCAGCCATGTTGAGAATTGACGATAGTGCCAGTCCTACTATGGTTAGTCCCCTGACAGATCATCAGACCATAACACATTTTTCCTCATGCCTTTGGCATACTTAATGTAGGTTTTTGCAATATGTAGCCGGCCAGGCTTGGATGTTGTTTTTAAGAAAAGGCTTCCGTTTTGCCACCCTTCCCCACAGCCCAGGCATATGAAGAATAGGGGAGATTTTAGTACACAACCAGTACTTGCCATACATAACTGCAGCTCCTTTAATGTTGCTGTAGGCCTCTTGGCAGCCTCCCAGACCAGTTTTCTTCTTGTTTTTTTTTCTCAATTTTGGAGGAACGTCCGGTTCTTGGTCGCGTTTCTATTGTGTAATATTTTGTCCATTTGTTGCTGACCATCTTCACTGTGTTCCACAATATATCTGATGCCTTGAAAATAAATTTTGTACCCCTCTCCTGACTGATACCTTCCAACAATGACCCCTTTGATGCTTTCTAATGCTTTCTAAGCTCTTTTCAAACCTTCGCTATTGCTCTAAGAGGCAACTGAGTAAATGTTATCAAAATCCTATTAGAATAGCTGAATTGTTTATGGTCTTATTCATAGTCACTTTTATGTATGGCAGGTGTGTACTGACTATTATTTAACATCAGCTTTAATGTGATTGGTTACTTCTTAACACACACACAGCAGCCATTTTAGTTTGTTTTTTAAATCAATTGTACAGATTATAGGTCTCAATAAAGGGTTGAAAAAACACAACATTTGTTTACATAAAAAATATGAGACGTATAATGACAAGTTTTTTTTTTGTTTTTTTTTTTGCTATGTACTGTTGTTCACTGCAGAAAATGAACAAACATAATACCTCAAGCAAGGTTTTGCTGGTATAGCCTCTGGAGATACATGTGAAAGACCCCCTTTGAAGCAGACAATATGTTGTTAATAAAAAGTAAATAGATAATGATATGGATTGGTAGTTGCTGATCCCAGAGTTCTGTCAGCAGCTCTGCTTTGGCAGCAACCACCAAAGCACTAAAACAGAAGATAACAAGTCCCTATAGAAAAAAAAACTGCATGACATAGGGAGAATTATTTGCTAGGTGTTGCTAGTTTATTGTTTTAAATCTGTCTTCCTCCTTTGTAACTTGCAAGTGTAACAGCATGACCGGCAGCTCCTCCAATTTGGTATTCTCTTTGGCACTGTGGAAAAGGCTTTCATGGGCAGACGAGCTAGACTAAACTGATCATTTCTTGGCTTTCTGGATGAACTTCTTTATACATTTACCTCACTTGATCTATTTCACCCTGTCACCCCAACAAAATAGCTGCCTCTCATTACACGGAGTTAAGTCTGACTGACAGTTTTCTCAGCACAAAAGGAAAAAAAAAACAAGTTCAGCACATATCCTTGTGCTAGTGTGTAACTTATTACCAAAAAAAAGAAAAGGAAAAAAAAAATGCTGTGGCCAAGTATTCTTTTCATCTATAGTATTCATATTTTGGATTTCTGTTTAAAAAAGGTGAGCTAGTTACTGTATTCCTTCTCTGTCCTCCTACTAATGGCCATGACTGGTAAGACTTGGTTACCATGGATACCTCCAGCTCAATATAACTTTCTAACCTGGGGATATTCTGTAGCAGAAGAACTGCTTATATATTTTCTTTTCAGCATTAGAGTGTTTTGAGAGTATTCAAACTGATATATTTTTGAAAATTTGCAGCAAATCTAAATACCCAATTAATATATATATATATATATATATATATATACACACACATACGCTATATTGCCAAAGTATTGGTACACCCCTCCAGATCATTGGATTCAGGTGTTCCAATCACCTCCATGGCCCCAGGTGTATAAAATCAAGCACCTAGGCATGCAGACTGCTTCTACAAACATTTGTGAAAGAGTGAGCCGCTCCCAGGAGCTCAGTGAATTCAAGCGTGATACCGTGATAGGTTGCCATCTGTGCAATTTCCTTGCTACTAAATATTCCACGGTCAGCTGTTAGTGGTATTATAACAAAGTGGAAGCAACTGGGAACAACAGCAACTCAGCCATGAAGTGGTAGGCCATGTCACATGACAGGGCGGGGTCAGTGCATGCTGAAGCACACTGTGCGCAGAAGTCGCCAACTGTCTGCAGAGTCAATAGCTAAAGACCTCCAAACTTCACGTAGTTTTCAGATTAGCACAACAGTGTGTAGAGAGCTTCATGGAATGGGTTTCCATGGCCGAGCAGCTGCATCCAAGCCTTACATCACCAAGTGCAATGCAAAGCGTTAGATGCAGTGGTGTAAAGCACGCCACCACTGGACTCTGGAGTACCACTGAGACGTGTTCTCTGGAGTGACGAATCACACTTCTCTGTGTGGCAATCTGATAGACTTGTCTGGGTTTGGCAGTTGCCAGGAGAACGGTACTTGCCTGACTGCATTGTGCCAAGTGTAAAGTTTGGAGGGGGGATTATGATGTGGAGTTGTTTTTCAGGGGTTAGTCTTGGCCCCTTAGTTCCAGTGAAGGGAACTCTTAAGGCGTCAGCATAACAAGACATTTTGGACAATTTCATGCTCCCAACTTTGTAGGACCAGTTTGGGGATGACCCCTTCCTGTTCCAACATGACTGCACACCAGTGCACAAAGCAAGGTCCATAAAGACTGCTTCTACAAACATTTGTGAAAGAGTGAGCCGCTCTCAGGAGCTCAGTGAATTCAAGCGTGGTACCGTGATAGGTTGCCACCAGTGCAATAAGTCCATCCGTGAAATGTTCTTCCTACTAAATATTCCACGGTCAACAGTTAGTGGTATTACAACAAAGTGGAAGCAACTGGGAACAACAGTAACTCAGTCACAAAGTGGTAGGCCATGTAAAATGACAGAGCAGGGTCAATGCATGCTGAAGCACACAGTGTGTAGAAGTCGCCGACTGTCTGTAGAGTCAATAGCTAAAGACCTGCAAACTTCATGTGGCTTTCAAATTAGCACAACAACAGTGTGTAGAGAGCTTCATGGAATGGGTTTCTATGGCCGATCAGCTGCATCCAAGCCTTACATCACCAAGTGCAATGCAAAGCGTCGGATGCCGTGGTGTACCTGATGGTAATCCCGAGTGTAGCTCGGGGTTAATTTCAGTACCAGAAGCGGTAAACCCGAGCAACACTCGGGATTACACTGCAGCGATCCCTCGAGCCTTACCTTGTCCCACGATCCCCTGAGGTCCTCCCGCTGTGTCCCCCGGCCATGTTCGCTGGCCAATTCCGGCATCCGTCTTCCAGGTGACATTTTTACCCATTCTTCTTTGCAAAATACCTCAAGCTCTGTCAGATTGGATGGAGAGTGTCTGTGAACAGCAATTTTCAAGTCTTGCCACAGATTCTCAATTGGATTTTGGTCTGGACTTTGACTGGGCCATTCTAACACATGAATATGCTTTGATCTAAACCATTCCAGCTCTCGCTGTATGTTTAGGGTTGTTGTCCTGTTGAAAGATGAACCTCTGCCCCAGTCTCAAGTCTTTTGTAGACTCTAACAGGTTTTCTTCTAAGATTGCCCTGTATTTGGCTCCATCCATCTTCCCATCAACTCTGACCAGCTTCCCTGTCCCTGCTGAAGAAAAGCATCCGAACAACATGATGCTGCTACCACCACGTTTCACGGTGGGGATGGTGTGTTCAGAGTGATGTGCAGTGTTAGTTATTTCCACACACACAGCGTTTTGCTTTTAGGCCAAAAAGTAAACTTTTGGTCTCATCTGACCAAAGCACCTTCTTCCACATGTTTGCTGTTTCCCCCACATGGCTTTTCACAAGCTGCAAATGGGACTTCTTATGGCTTTCTTTCAACAATGGCTTTTTTCTTGCCACTCTTCCATAAAGGCCAGATTTGTGGCGTGCATGACTAATAGTTGTCCTGTGGACAGATTTTCCCACCTGAGATGTCGATCTCTGCAGTTACCATGGGCCTCTTGGCTGCTTCTCTGATGAATGCACTCTTTGCCCAGCCTGTCAGTTTAGGTGGATGGCCATGTCTTGGTAGGTTTGCAGTTGTGCCATACTCTTTTCATTTTCAGATGATGGATTGAACAGTGCTCCTTGAGATGTTCAGAGCTTGGGATATTTTTTTATAACCTAACCCTGCTTTAAACTTCTCCAGAACTTTATCACTGACCTTTCTGGTGTGTTCCTTGGCCTTCATGATACCGTTTGTTGATTAGTGTTCTCTAACAAACCTCTGAGGGCTTCACAGAAGAGCTGTATTTATACTGAGACGCACGTGGACTTTATTTACTAATAGAAGGCAATTAGTTCCATTAGATTTTAGTTAGGGCTATCAGAGTAAAGGGGGCTGAATATAAATGCACACCACACTTTTCAGATATTTATTTGTAAAAAAATTGAACCTACTTCAAGAGGGTTTATTTGATAATACAAGGCCTCATTTATGAAAGTGCCTAAAAAGAGAACTGCCTGGGTACCCTAATACAACCAAACAGATTTGTTTCCCTTCTTTTTCATGTCTACACCTACAAGAAACCATAGATAGAACCAAAAATTATCAACCAAAAAGACAATAATAATAATGTTAAAAACACTGTACAGCCTTCATTGGATCAAAATTGCTGTGGCCCTTTGATATTGGCAATAAAAATATCATTTAATATTATAACCAAAAATTACATAAACACCTACTTTGTGCTCAAAGGTTTTCATACCTTGCAGAATTGGTAACAGTATGTACCATTTAAAAGAAACCATGAGTAAGCAGGCAAAACACATTTCTTTTATTTCTTATGGGATTCATATTCAACTGTAGGTCATAACAGAATAGCACAATTATAAAACATAACATGACAACAAATAAACAAATGTTGCTAATGTACAGCGCTGAGCAAACCCTTTGGCGCTATATAAACACTGTATAATAATAATAATTACCCCTGATCAAAAGTCTGCGTACCCTTAGTTTTCAATACTGTGTATTACCCCCTTTAGCATCAATGACAGTGTGCAGTCTTGATCATGAAGCTCTTTTTTGTCCAAGTATCATTGTATTGTGCTCCTTCAAACAAGCCAGCCTGTATTTCTCCTGAGGTTACCTGTTGGCTTTTCTTTGTATTCCAAACAATTCTCTGGTAGTTGTGGTTGCACTCTTTCTTACCTGATCTTGGCTTGGTATCAAGAGATCCCTGAATTTTCCACTTCTTAACCTCCCTGGCAGTATTCTAATGTGAAGGCTACACGCAGTTTGGAGGTCTTTAGTTATTGAAACAGTTAGCGATTTCTGCACATTGTGAGCTTCAGAATGCGCAGACCCTGCTCTGTCATTTTATGTGGCCTACCACTTCATGGCTGAGTTGCTGTTATTCCCAGTTGCTTCCACTTTGTTATAATACTACTAACTGTTGACCGTAGAATATGTAGCAGCAAGGAAATTTCAGGGATGGACTTATTGCACAGGACGTAACCTATCACGGAACCATGCTTGAATTCACTGAGCTCTTGAGAGTGACCCATTATTTCACAAATGTTTGTAGAAGCAGTCTGCATGCCTAGGTGCTTGATTGTATCCATCGCCAAGGAGGTGATTGGGTGTTTGGAACACCTGAATCCATTGATTTGGAGGGGTGTCCCAATACTTTTGGCAATATAGTGTATATATATATATATATATATATATATATATATATATATACAGTATATATAATATATTAATATGTAATATATTATATAATCTATAATATATTAATTATGTTATTGCAAAACATAATATATAATTAAATAACAACATACAGTATATACAACATTTGTTTTTATTTATTAGCAACAGAAAGGAGACAACAGAAAGCATGACATGAGGAAAGAGTGCTGATGGCCACACATCCGTTAAAATCCCCTTTATTCCATCATATTCCAAAATTAACACTTTGCAATACAAAAATGAGAGCAAGTAATGGCTACATATAACTCTTTTAAACTTCTTGAGGCCAATTCTAGAGGTTCGCTGGTAAGCTGACTTAGTTTTCTTTATTTTTAACAAGACAGAGAAAATGGAGGCCTTTAGGGTAGGTTTGATTCATATGCTTGAGGCATAAAAAATGGAAATACCTTAAAGGTCCTTCCTTGCTCTCTCCCAAAGCCACCAATTCCAAAATTACTCTCAACAACCACAGGCTACCTTCTATAGATGCTACACTCCTCCACCCCATATTCAGCAGCCACTATGCTAGTCCCTGCAATTGGTAACTTCTGAAGGGCAAACAGATGAATGGGACCGGTAAGGGACTGAGTCCCTATAATAATTTTGCCTTTAAAAATTTTTTTTGTTGTTGTTAAAAGTTTTCTATTTTATCTAATATTCTTAGGTCCATTATTAAATAAATTTTGTGTTTCCAAGTTTTCTGTTTTTCAAATATTTTGAGCCTATTGATATGAAGTTGTTGTTCAATAATTTAATTTTAAAAAAGGGTTATGGAAAATAAAAAGAATATTTTTAAATCTCTTGTTTGTGTTGTTTCTTTATTCATATGCATAATTAAACCTATCAGAACTTGTGTATAAGAATTACATGTTTTTCACATCCGTTTTCAGCTACTTACCATTATTTAACTATGAGAAAATCCATCGGTGTCACTGTCTTCCTGTAAGTGGTGTTCTGATGTTCAAGCTCTGGTGTAATTATTTCAAGAAACTGGTCAAAGCTAAAAGAGAAAAAGGAAAGGAGCTAAGAAAAAAGGGTTTTTATGTATGGAGCAAGACTATTATTTGTCAATAGGGGCCTGTTAGGTAGGGTACACTCTTGGAATACAGACACATGCTGTGTTCAGGGCTGCGTATTCATACTTGAATGGCATTTGCACTCATCTCTATGCACATAAACATGGGCCTTTGTGGGCGTATGCTTTTAGTAAGTGCCTTGGGAACAATACCAAAAGGTACACCTATATGCTGCCATATATCTGTTTCAATGGAAGATAAGGGGTTTACTTACCAGGACACATTTACATTACTTCTATAAAGTAAATATGGGCCTTGCTATGGCTAATAATATCACTATGGTGATTAAAGGGTTAATGTGGCTAAATAGTATCCCATTTTTATTATTTTTTATACAGTTTTTGAAATGTTTTTTTTTTTTTTTACATTGCTTTTTGTCTGCCTGTTCACCTGACACACAATAATTCACAAGAACATTACCTTTTAGTTGACATCCATGTATAGTTTAAAAAAACGTGTCTGGATGTGAACAAAGGTTATTGTAGAAATTGTAGAGGGTCCAGCATTGACCCTCAGTCTCTCTTTCCATCAAGAGTGGATGACCCGAGTAACGCATATGCCAAGGACATCATCTCAAAATAACACTGGCCAGCACCAGGATTATGCCTACGAGAGCAGACAACCTTTTCTCCACACAAGGATCACATGACAAGAGCAAAGAAAAGGACGATGGAAGTGAACTCAAGGAAATACAAGAAGACAAGCCCACAAAATGCTCAGGAAAATGCACCACTACTGCATGAAAATGCACCACAAAAAGCACGCCAAACACAATGCAAATGCGCGCATCAAATGCATCAAATGCATGTGAAGGCATGGCAAATGCAAGCAAATGCATGTGAAGGTGCATGCAAAAACACGCAGTCAACAAATCAATGTCTAGTGTGGATGGACCCCAAAATAAATATAATGTAGCTGTTTCATCTTCCAAAAGATCTGTAATTCTGTTCTGTTCGGAAAGAGGATTTTCCTTTAAATTGCATATTGACATGGTTGCCAGCATACAAAGAATTCTTATTCTAAACTGTCATTACACAGCCTGAAGAAAATTACACATATTTTGCCAGATAAAACAATTCACATTTATGTAATTCTGCTGTTTATTTTGCTTTTTTTTTCAGGAGTTCAATCTTAATTACACATTCGGCCTGATCTACAAAGAGAAAAAGCACAAATGTTTGCATATACAAACAAATTTGCTCAAACTCGTGCGCATTCGCACCTGGACACAACAACATGACTCCAAGCCAAGCAGATTGCATACTGATGTTATTTGAATGCTAAAATGTACATATTCAAAAGGGGCTGTGTGCACACACTATTGCTCGCTACTATGCTAAAGAAGTGTACCTGAAGGAGGGCGGTTGTTGGCCTTTTATTGAGGCAGCTAGACAGGTTGTCAGGTACTACAGTAAGCAGAGGTATCCTATATTACCTAGCAAAATATAATACAAATCAAATTTGGAAAACTGATGGTCAAAAAAACAAAGTTTTAAATTTCCCTTACTAAAATATCTAAACTGTATTCACTGCGTTTACTAAGCTCATGCTTTTATGCATCCATTCTTTGAGAAAACACTGTGCCTTGCACAAAACATTTCAGAGTAGAATTTGTTTCTGCTGGCTTTTTGGTGTGCGGCATTCCTGTTGTTGGTATAATTTATTGCTTTGGCGGAGACAAGCCAGTCATGGAGTGTGGAGCATGATTTCTCCTGGAGTGGGGTATGTGAAATATTTGACTTTTGTGCATCCATGTGTTGGAAAATTGTATTACCTTTGCATCAGAATGCTTACATTTTAATGAATGGGGTTTATTTGGAAAAATTTTAATGTGCAAACTCATTTCACCCTACAATTTTTCCAACTGATAGTTGTACAGGATGCCAGGGATGGGTCATGGATTGGAGGTAGGTGTCTTCTTTTAAGTTGTGGTTTCTTTAAGGGAGATGACAAGAAACAGTGTGAAGGGTGAGGGGTTTTGGGATGAACTGGCGAAGGGGGAAAACTGACTTTTTCCCAAGATTATTAAGTCCTCATATGGTTCCCATAATTTGGAGGCTCTGAGAGATTTTGGGTGGAAAACAGCCTCCAATCTTGACTATGGAAAATGTGGTCCTGAAGAGGTTAAACTACTTGCAAGACAGGGCTTAAAAAGGCAGGAAGCAGCAGGCAGATGCCTTTGAGGTATTGAGTGAAACACAATTGTCAGCGGACTGTGAACTGTTTGGGTTACTGAGATGCTGCTGGGCTCTTGTGACTTTTCAGAATCCCTGAAGCAGGCGGAAACTTTAAACCTTGATGTGGGACAGGTTTTTACTGGTGGTGAGCTGAATCTTTGTTTTTGTACCAGAAGTGTCTGGACTGTTTTTGTTTGGTTTATGCTGAAGAAAAGCTACTTTGCCTGTTTTTGAAGAACTAAAAACTTTACTTTTACAAAGACAGTAATCCAGACCCTCAAAAAATCACATAGTGTTAGAAATTAACCAGTAAAACTCCTTTAGGCAGTGACATGGACTGGAGAATCTATTCCCATAATCCCCTGCTCCCCTGTCAGATATTAAAATTAAGATTTCCATTGAAACCTTCTTAGCCACTGAACTTCAAATGAAATAGTAAATGGATCCAATGAACATCCTTAGTAATTACTTACTGACCAGATTACATGGATGGTGGTAATGGGGGAGATTTACTACAGCTGGTGCACTCAGAATCTGGTGCAGCTGTGCACAGTAGCTAATCTGCTTTTAACTTCAGTTTGTTCGATTACGTTTTCGCAATAAAACCTGGAAGCTGATTGGTTTCTATGCACCAGAGTTGCACCAGATTATTCACTCTCCAGTTTTAGTAACTAACCCCCCAGTCTCCGCAAACTACCCAAGTCCAGCTTCAGTCAAATTGAACCTCTCATCTTTAGCTGCTAAACTCAGGCTTCACGCACTATTAGCAGCTTCTGCAATCTATAAAATGTTGCATCTAGCAGAACCATAAAAACTAAACAAAAATTATTATAGTGAATAAACAAGTTTAAATATGCCAGAACAATTATTTACCCAGCCAAGCTTCTGTAAAATAAAAACTGTCAATAAAGGTATATTGTATGTTGCTATTGCGGTAAAACTCCTGTAAATCCTAATCTGTAATCAGTTTTGCTAAAAAAAAAAGTATTAATTAATGCTTCCTTAGATCTTATAAGATTAAAACCAGATTATTTTTTTTACAGGCCCTTATGTATAATGCATGGTGTTTATCACCTATCATTCAGAGTAAATATAACTTTAATCCCTTTGATAAAATAATTATTCTGAATGAAATGTCAAAATTATCAATCTTTGAAACATATCCCTTTGCAGCCATAAAGAGTACTGCAATAAATATTTCACCAAATAACCTGCTACAAATGCAATATTTATGACTGCTTTCTCATCAGAGAAGTGATAATTTTCTATACTGTGTCATGCTATTAAATCAAAAAGGTTTGTTGGAGAAATGTACTTCTCCAGTTTAAGGCCTGACAAAGAAAAATGAACCACGCATTTTGGAATATTATGGAACGCAACTTAAACGAGTCAGTATGATTTACAGTTCAGCTGCATGGAGGTACGATTTGGGACTTGTCTGTTGAGATCCTGCCCGTTTCCATCATTACAGCCAGGCAATCAATACTCGGTGCATCAGTGCCACATCCATATTT